TTAAACTGAATAAGTTGTACTTCATTTATGAAAGATCTCTACTAGTTCAATTCTTTTTGGAGTAAACGTTAACCATGTTTATTCAACAGAAAGGCAATTAAAACTTGAGTTTTAAACCATACAGCTCAGAAAATAAAACACTTTATATTTATCAATTTTTAAGTGTTATTATACAATTGTATAACTGTTAGTAATATTATGAGACCTTGGATATGAAGAGCAGTTATTCAACCAATCTCATAACACCTCTTGAAAGGTAATATTAAATTATACTATATTGGCAAAGTTAACAACTCCTCTTTATGCGATAACATATGAAGATAATGAGTGTGTTTACATTTGTAGGTAACGATTAGGACATTAAAACTATAGCTTTTGATGATAATTATTGAACTCTAAGGTCAATCACATATAATAGTAATACATTTTATATCAGGAAGTAAACCAGAATTTTTGGGGAGTCCCAAAATATCCCTCTAAAATCTCTAGAATTCAAGGAAACTACAGAATATTTTCTATTCAATCAACATAGAATAGAAGTTTCTAAGGAATATCTAGGATAATGAAAGATTGCTTGCCACCTTTTTATTAGATGATTACCTATGCAGTTATTATACTTGGAATGTTTTTAGAAAGTTCTGAGAACTGAAGTCTCACAAAACTCCATAAATACACTCGATTTTTTGTACATAAACTAGCCTTGCATTACAACACTTACTCATATTTCGCTCTTTTTTCTCTGTTGTTGGAGCTATAGTATCGAAGTAATCTGGTGTTATAGGAATTGGCTAAAAAGTCAGTATCCTTGAAGATAATTAATTTCTATGGTTTACAAGTTGACTTAGTCACTGTTCAACATCAATGTCCTAAGATCTAGTGTTACATGTATTACGATTTCATAATAATGAATAACAATACTACTACTATCACTACTACTACTACTACTAATAATAATAATAATAATAATAATAATAATAATAATAATAATACAAAAAACAAGTTAAAGTTAGAAGAATATTACCCTGCGATTGATTTTTCATAAGATTTTTAGGCTTATTTTGTGTCGATATTGTAGCTTTTCTTATAATTAGTCACCAAGGAAGTATTACAATAATTTGAGGAAATAAAGTAACTACAAAGTACAAAGATTTACAAATCGGATCATTCAGGAGACACTATTTAATTAAGGGTATTATTTTTGTTAATCAAAAGGTGTTGTATGTATATGTGATAGATACACATTTTCTTTAAAATACTCTCATTAGGTCTAATGGGAATCCTTGAGGTCTGATGAAAATTTGTACATTCCGATTCTAATACAAGATAAATTTTATCACAAACGAATTCACATGAATACCATGGAAAAGCTAAGATGAACCGGATAGCTGTTCTGTCTCACTTTCCGACTTCTCAGTAATTCCTATCAATCGGCCATAGTTTACGATAATTCTATCAGATTAAATCAGTTTAGGATAAAAACTATCTAGTAAAGCATATCATTTCACCTGAAACTTTATTGTATTTCAACGAATATTCGAGGTCATTTAAAACACTGGTCATCAAACTTCTGTTATAATACACAGTATGGAAAAGTTTTTACCTACAATAACAATTTATTCTGAGCGCACCTTTAAAGTGAACTATCTCCTTTGTTTTCGATTTTGTTTCTAAATTAAAAATTAGACTGTAAGCTAGTGGTTGCCCTGATTTCTGGAAACTACTGCGTATTGATAAAATGTGATGGATACTGGTCTAGTTTATATATGTATACATATAGGCTACAATACTGTTAATAGAGTGAGTGACCTTGAGATAGTTAATTCCCTTCCCACCTGATTCATTTACTGATAAGTATTATGCTAATATTGTTGCAAAACTAAAACGTACTAGACAGTTCAATAAATAGACGGAATAAGTTCATAAAAACTTTATTTCACAAAATCTACCATACATATATCTCATCCCCTTTCAAAATAATCTCTATTTGAGGCACGGCATTTAGTATATCTTATGAACTCCTCAAAAACCAGAGTCTTTAGCTTCATTAGTATTTCATCTTTTACTAGAATCCGGTGAACACACAGTACTTACAAATTCCAAAACCTCCCGAATAGTGGAATGATGATAGAAAAGAACAAATGATCGCATGAATTCGATGCTTTCATCCAAAGAGGTAGTTGACGTTATTCTTGACCTTTTAGTCTTCATTGCGATCAATGAAGTATATAATACATGTGAAAAAGTTCCATCCAATGTGTTAGATACCAAAAGTATATGTTGACATTTTTTTAACATCCTGATAGCTTTTTTCATCAATTCCCACAAACTACATTGTGGCAAATTCAATCATTATTTTAGTATGTATGGTAATCTGGTAAATATTCACTGTTTTAATATTTGTTTAGTATAAAATTTGTTTTAGGTTATAATCATTTAATTTCAATTAATAATCACATGAAAAGCGATTTAATGTAAGGAGTGATATTCTAACATAAATATATTCTTCACCATCTCAAACTATGCATTTTTGTTTTCATAGTTTGAAGGTTTAATCACAAATATTAAAAGAGATATTACTGAAGTGTAATTTAGGTTATAGTGACACAGAAGAGTCATGATCATGTTCCGTTAAGTTCTCTGTGCCGTTATTCTAAACTTTTTAAACATCCTACAACTAAGAACAGATAATACTGGTAATGACTAGGGTAATTTACAAATTCCAATTTGAACCATGACAAATCCTCTTCTGGTCACGTTATTAGCATTTATCTTTTTATCAGAAGGTGTTTGTGGAGATTTTAGAAATTTCACAGATTGAAATCATGAGTCAATTGAAGCTAGACCACAATGGAAAACCTGGAAGCACTGAACGGCTGTTTCGTCCTAGTATGGGACTCCTCAGCAGTGCGCATCCACGGTCCCGCACCCCTCGAGATTCGAACCCGGGGCCAATCAGTCTCGCGCGCGAGCGCTTAACCAACTATACCACTGAGCCGGCTGCATCCGGCGGTGTTAATGTCTAACTTCAACCAATCCACGAAGTTGCACCACCGTACACCATCGTCTTCAGTGAGTTGATATCTCACAACAGACCTGGTTGAACTACACTGATAACGGCTTCTCCCTAGAACCGTCCAGTTCTTCCAGGTTTTCCCTGGTGGTCTAGTTGCAATTGACTCATGATTTCAATCTGTGAATTTATCTTTCTCCTTATAATAAATAAAACTAGAGGTTGTATGTGCATGTTTGGAAATTTTACAATCATTTGTAGTTATTTTTTTGGCATAGAATGATGTACCCACCTATTTAGACTGTCATTAATTGTATTGAAATCATTATAAGATCATTTTTAAAGTATGCATTTTAAACTGATCAAATTTACACATTTTAGTTACTATAAGAAAGGAATAAACTTGCGTCGGTTAACCTTGAATTTAAAAAAAAAATTGATTTTCACTGAGATTAAAAGAGCAATTTTAATAAAGAATTGAAGTCAATTAAAGAATTATTGAAAAAAGCAATAGGTGGTAGACTTATATTTCGTTCTAGTTTGGGACTATTTAGTATTTCAGACCTATGAACTACAATGATCTTGACGTTACTTGACTGGTATGTTACTTTTATTTAATCGTTAATATGGGATTTAGTGGTACGTAATTGCAAATTTAGGCTTACTGGTATTATTAGTAGAGTATATTAAGAACTGGAACATTGACTAATAAAATGAGAATGAACCAATCAGCTAAAATGAATCGTAACATTCTGCTATGGTTTTGTTTTATAGATAACCATATTTAAATAATAAAACCTATGACATCAATAATAACTTAAAAAATGTGACCATTGAATGTGTAGGATGAACATTACAGACAAAAATAATCACTCCAAGATTATTCTTTTAGAATCAATAGTATGACTTTAAAAATATATGAACTTTCAATGAATATCCTAATTAAATTTCAATTTGTTTTGCACAAATAGTGTTAGATACATACAATCTGTTGATCACAGGGTTAGATGTTGTTAGGTTCACTCTTCAGTTTCAAATATCTACACATTATTGGTGTACACTGTTAACGAAAAGAAACTTAATATTGTATTTAAAAAGTGATTGTATATTGTATTCGTTCTCAGAGCATGAAAGTCCTGGATATAATTGCACGTGGTTTGAAAGGTATTTACAATGAATATTTTATTAGTTGAACATGGTAATTATTTACTACATTTTGACTTTGAGTATTTTCAATGGATAACTACATAATTGTAAAAAGCTAATTTATGAATAGCTCAATGTTAATGCCTGTGACTTGCAATATATGATATGAATTCAGATTTTATGGGTAACATTATTTATTTTAAGATTGTTAGTTGATAGATAGAATTCTGTCAGTACTGTGATCTAAACGAGCTTGACAACGGCCATGACACAGTAATAAACCAATCAAAATATTTTATTTATTTATTTTAACACATAGATATTGGTACAAGGAGGCACCGAATACATATGCGCCACACAAATCTCATTCGATATGTGTGAGGGCTGTGATACTGCTCGGGTGCCCAAACCGAAGCAGGTGGTTTTCTTATGCGGCCACACCCCGAGCCTTCGACCTGAAGGTCTGATCCACAAGGCAGTGGAGCATCGTGAGGAGATGCAGTCCCATGGAAGCCAGTGACCAACGATAGTTCATACGCCATTTTTCCCGCAGGATACTGGAGCCCATGTGCACTATTGGTTCGGAATCCGGTTAAAGTGCCGGACATTGGCTTTTCGTCCTCTCATTTTCGTAAACAACAGTAATGCCACGAGAAGGCAGTGAGTAGAACTTCCCTGGCAGAGACTATATACGCGTGACCATGTGAGAGCATTTCGAGAGGGAGAGCGGACTCTCCCACTAGGGCATTTGGGGGCCAATAAAAATATAATGCATAAAAACAATACTAACCACAGTAATAATGTTAATAAAATAATATCCATGTTGAAAAAGATTTCAACTAACTTCAACCTTTAACCTGTTCAAATCATAACGTTTGATTAATCGACTGCTTGCCATTAAATTGGATACTGTATTCTCTAATACTATGAATATTGTACAATTCTTCATGATGATTCATAATTAATATACAAAATCTGAATAATTAATTAATTTATATACAGATTTGTTGATAAATGATTTAACTCGAATGGGTGTAACTTTCCCTGAATTATTTCAAATGATTTATATACACACAATGTAAACACTATCAGTAATTTTATATTCAAATAAACAAAAAATTCTTCCCGGAAGTACAATTCCTTGATATACATGTTTGTATAATAATAGCTAGAGTAAATACTTGATTGGTTAATTAGGATTATAACCATTATTCTGTTACACCAGGTCAATTATTCTATGTATGTATACATAATTATACTCGTTTCTATAGAGTATGAGAATTAATTAGGTTTTCTAAGTGGTGTAATTATATATCAATAAAAACAATAATATTAATAATAATAATACAACATGGGGGTTATATTATTATTGATTTGTGTCACGCATTATGTAATCTAAGCGAAGAGAAGGAAGGAATGTATGTTTCTAAAGAAATTATCCATTATACAAGTACATAATAGCATTCAAAAGTAAATGCGGGATTATACACTCTAAATATACTCATTTAATATACTGAGTTGTAGTTGTATTCAAATTACATGTAGACTAATACATAACGAATGAACTTCTTGTCACTTAGTGCTTACAAAAAGAGTAGGACGAACATATAATCTGAAAACAGTATTTCTCCACACACACACACACAGAGAGAGAGAGATACACATGTTTAATTGAGTTATGAATAACCAGGGTTTCATTTGAAATTATAGAAAAGATATGCGAGATAGAGCGGTGATTTTTTATGAAGTTTTCTCTATATTAGACAGTCTATTCATGAAGCTTTAACTTTCTTTCTAAACAAAGTCATCAAGTCAAAATCTTTAGTGTTGAAAAGATTAGCAACAATAATGATGCAGCGGCTTAATCTGACATTGGGTAAATGATACGCGAGTATGAGTGGCTGGTATTTGGCTTTCTTTCTTAGGAAATAAATGTGATACACGTTATTGGTGGAAAGATAGGTGTATATTTGAATGTTTTGTTATTTTTTGATACAGTTGGTCGATAGGACGTCCTTGTCACTCATGAATAGGATGTCTGCCTAATAGCATCAAAATCGGATATCTCACAACACAATAAATCACGAAGGAAAAGTGTAGAGTGACCGTCGGCCGGCTCAGTGGTCTAAAGGTTAATCGTTCGCGCGTGACTGATAGGTCCTGGGCTGAAATCTCGCGAGGTGGGATCGTGGATGCTCATTTGTTGAAGAGTCCCACAATAGGACGAAACGGTCGTTCACTGCTTCCAGGTTTTTCATGGCAGTCTAGCTTTAATTAACTCATGATCTCAACTATTGAAATTACTGCAATCTCCACAAAACCCCTTCTGATACCAATTCATTTATGCTTTTCACTGATGATGTTATAGTAGTCACTAGATCGAAAGGAACAAACTTCATGCAGGTGATGAATCCTAAAATGAGCTTAACACATACTGCTATTTTGCCTACAGTGGAAATAACACTTATTTACTTAAACGAACTAATTGAAGAATTCTGAGTTAACCCATTATAAACATTGAATTTTGGACTGATTGAAACTAATCAATGTTTAATTGATTTTTATAGTGATATGTTGTCTTCATTTTCATATTTAGTTATGATTTCATAAACCAAGAAAAAAAATTGGGGAAAATTATATAAACATGAAGAAATATAACTACAATAATTTGGATGTACTATTCTGATTATCAATATGATGTTGGTAACGATTCAGAGTACTTTTAAACTGATAACACATAATCAATTTATGAATTAATTCGAAACATAAAAAGCTAATATGATGTGATGTTTGGTATTATACTTTCTATAGTAGTTCTATCCTTGAACTTTAATAATAATTGTAGTGGTTAACTCGTGTTTTGATTGTCTAAATGAACCAATGTTTTCGAACAGGTTGGAATAACTATATATCCGTTTCGACCCAGACTGCGTTTTGGCACTTAAACAAAATTAGGGATCATCAAGGCTGTTTTATGATAGATTTCCATGACAAGTTTCTACATGATGCAGTTATCAATATGGACAGGGACAAATAGGAAATTGTTTGTCGGTGAATTAGTTCCTGACTTTGTTTGGCTGGTAAAGTTTGTGCTGATGATGTCGTTCAGAAGAACGATGAAAGCTCCACGACCAAACCATCCAGCTCGGAGAACAAAACTCCATCAAAAGGCTGGTAAAATATTATATATATAAATGTTTTCAGTTGTTTACAGATGCTAAGTTGAGTTTGAGTATAGTACACCATAGGGAAAATAATCAGTGAAAATTAATTTTCTACCTTTTTATTCTTATTTGCTCATTTCACGTAATACTTTTCCGATTACTTCTAATTTACAAATGACACAGTTTTGAAGTATTCATGCCGTTACAAATGTTCGGAATTTTTAGCATATAATATTGTCTAATTCACTAAACTTCGCAAAAATAACAATAATTAACTTATAACTGGTGACGTATTTATTAAAAACAATTGTTCGTTCCAATATTCTTTGGGGGTTGTTAAGCTACTTTTCTACAGTTCTTTTCATGCTTAAGTAATAACTAAAACAAATCTATTGTTATACAAATAAAATTCATCCCAAATACAATGTTGGCTAGCGTAGAAGAGGGTTGGAAGACTAGGGGTGACCGAACGAAGATGTATGATTAGTGAATAAAGCCACTAACTGTTGGACTGAACGATACTGGGTGGTGCAGACTACTCCGTTAGGGTTCGTGTCATTATTGTAAACATTAGTTGAAGACGCTGAGTGACATGACTTAGGTTCAGTTACAATGATGAAGGCACATTCACTGTTTTCCCTTAAATACTGGATTTTTAAATAAGTTCATAACTTTCATTACTCAAATTCACTCCTCGAACGATATCCTTTATGCCTAATTTTTGTACTATCTCTGGTACTACTAGCTCTACTACTTCGATATTTACATTGAAGGCTTTATTTTTCTGTGATAATGTCCCGTCAACGACGCAATAAAGTCAAATTTTGGTCAGTAGTGTGGACTCATTATTCGGCGCAGCGTATCAACCTAATAAAACAATTCCTTTTCACAGATGGGTTATTAGATAGCTACTGGCTATCGTACAAGAAATTTCCGTATCATAAATCAATGAACGCTAGAATCACTTTATCAACACCTTTTGACCTGACCAGTATTTAATACACACTAAAATCCATACTCGGTTTGCCATCAGTATCGTGAATGAAGGACTTCATTTTTCGATGAACCGTTGGGGATGTGTGACCTTTAAAAATATGTAGCCTATAGACACTTTAAATTACTTAGAAGTGCTTTTTCTCGTATCTTATAAAATATTAATGTCATTTTACTGATCAGTTGTTGTCACCTGTTATTCATTCATTTTAAGGAGCTTGACTCAATAATTAAGCACTCTTGATCAATCACCACTCAAATACCCTTCGTATACATATAGTTGGTTGAACTCGTTATTACCAAATGAAAACCACTAAGATAACTTCACATTTCGTTAAGAAATTCGTTTTGACATAACTTACAGAGAGGATTCCTAATTTCACAACATTTATGGGTTTTTCGTCATGTATTGGCATCAATTGAGATCCAGGAAGAATTGGACATCCGTATCATTCTAGTTTGAGATTCGTCGGATGTACCTTGTGGAAAACATTATCTTCAGACTACTGAGTTGATATCAGTTGGTTTACCTTTAACCAACCAATACGCGACATGACGTAACTACAAGCGCGAGTCATTGTTTATTCGGATGAACTCCACCGACAACTTTCCACAGGAACTTCAGCAAATGAACTAGAGGTTAGTTACTAGCGAGCACATGATTAAAATTCGCTCATCAAGTGGAGTTGAGTATTAAAGATAAAATGGGAGTGCAAAAAGGTTTTCACGACTGAGAAGTGAACCATAACGTTAGACACTTAATGTAATAAAACCACAAGCTTAAGGATTACTCACAATAACACATGTATTTAACAATTAACAGTCCAGTGAAATCGATTACAAACGTTTTGCGTACAACTCCCGACATAGTCCTGCGCGTTTAATGACAGGTAAACAAACTGTGTTTAGCATTTTGGTAGTTTCGAAGAAAAAAGTTCAGGAAATATGAGTGAAGCAAAATTAGAAATGGCAAAAATAGATGCACAACCGCCCGAAAAGACAAAATAGGAATGGAAAGTTTGAAAAGGACAATGCTTGGGGACAAAATAGAAGATATATACAGACAGGCAGCAGTAAAAACCAAGAAAGGTATTCATTTTGTTGAACACAAAAATCTTAGAGACGGAAGATAAGAAAGACAAGGTAGAAGCCAAAAACAGATGAACTCAGTATAACAAAGGCTAAGTAAAACGACTAAAATGAGAAATAGAGTGGAACCAAACAATACTATTTAAAGATCACAGACATGCCACAAAAGTTTGGAAATTCAAAATCAATAGTAACGCGGAAGACCAAAAGAAGGTAGTGCAATGGACAAATACACAGAAAAGGCAAATAGGTACAGAGGTACCGAAAGACAAAGGCAAAGTAATAAGTTACACAGTCACACCAGGAGAAATTGAGAATCTGATTGGTGAAAAAAGTGAAGGCTAAACTCAGACTGATTGAAAGGTTAGCTCAAACAATTCATTACGATGGTATTGAGTTAACCCAAAATGAAAAAAAAACTAGGAAGACATACTAACATGATCAAAAAAACAGGTGAGATAAAACCAAACAATCATGAATAAATAAATAAATAGGAATAGGCAAACAGCCAAGGCAACCATAAAGTTTTATACAGACATACAAAATGAATCTAAGGAAAATCCTGAAGAATTAGCAATGCAACAGACGGGGACCTTGGAGCAAAATCTTGGATGGATAAAATGTGAAACAAAAACGAATGAGCTAACGAAATAGAAAGATTTTTGTTCTAATGGTTGAGAACTAAGAGGAATGGAACAGTACAGCAACAACCGCATGAACGGCTTTAATTAAATGCAAAACAGGAGGGGCGGTTGTTAGATCATTCTACTAGGTTGGCTATCAAAGGCAAGAATTTATGAAAATATGAA